AAATTTATGTGATAAAAAGTGAGGTAAGCGATCACGTCACGCCCGTCTTCCCACCTACTGTGACCAAAGCTGACTGGGTTGAAATAAGAGCGAAAACATCAGTAGAAGTAAAAGCAAACAGCGGCGCGTATCTAGGACAATAAACTTTAATGGGAGCGAACATGAAACACGACATCNGTTCATAAGATGTCGTATAATTACCGTTCGTACGTTATCTTTCTAGAAAAGTAGATAAAGCCTCGCACGTTTGTATGATACTTATGTGAGACAAGCAGAGGGCCAGGGGTTTAACTCCTCTTGACCACTTACACTGCAAAGACCGATCTCGGAGTGGGCACTTGGTGTGATGAACTCTTACGTAAGATAATCTAAATAGATATGAATCAATTCGTATAATACATGAAACATTGAAACGATAACCATATAAAGTTTGGTTACTTCAGTCTACCATTTTCAAGGTGATCACGATATCCGGATGATACGAAATGGCACAGTTTCATACGTGAAGTAGACACCAATTAAAAATACGATATCTCAAATAATTTAAATTATCGTATTTTTACTTAATGTTAACTCTAAGAAACTGTACAATTCATAGCCGAATATCAAACGTTCATTTGCCAATTAATCTAATTTCGCAAAAACAAATAAAATATTTAAACTCTGCGCCCTCAAAAACTATTTAAATCACATAGCCTATTGTGCTAGCCGGTAACCATGTATTATGTATTTATCCTAATCGAATTCCACCATAAAATGATAATTATCTACGTTAAAGTGAATTTAGTTACTAACAAATAAACATAATTGTTAAAATTGATTACAATAATACCCACCAAATAAAGTGCTGCACGAAAGTATTATTTATTCTTATTTGATGATGAATAGTTCGTCACGAGATAATATCACTTGGATCTTCAAACGACAGGGTCTGTCCAAAGCACGAAGGACTATAGTTAATTAATTACGCATATGAATACAATTTAAAAATTATAAACTGAAGGTAAAATATTAATGACAATCTGAAGCAAAAATAAATAATAATTTCAGAATTTCCTTTATATAACGAATAAAACGATTACAATTTTTTTAACGAACATATTTTCTCTTTTATTCTAAACATTATTACAGGGGCCTATCTCTCCTAAAATTACACTTATTTGACACACATTTGTGGCTCGAAATATGTATAGGAACTAAACTGCGCTTTATGTATTCGAGTCCATTTAGCGGAACACGTGATTACGAAGTTCCTCGATACGATCGTTACGAAATTCTCGTTGTAAATAGTCCATACAGGAAAAAATTGAGAGAAGCAAAGCGAATCGAACGATATAACAGAAGAACTAAATTCTATTTTATTATATTTTTTGAGTCGTACAAAAAACAGTGACGTTCCATACTTCTCTTTAATACAGACAATTCGTAACAATAGTTTCGTGAAGATAAACACAATGATAAAAGGTATTATCTTGTTTAATCCTGTACCCATTTTGCTCGCCCTCTGGTGTTTAAAAACAAAACTATTTTATCTGAATCGTTTGATTCATTTTTGTGTATTATCAGCGGTAAAGATGAAAAGCGATAGGAAACGCAACGCTTCCTGTTGGTTCCAAATTGCAATTTCAAAGCCTTACGAGAGCCTGACATAAGTTTTCGTCTATTCCCACACGGAAAACGGGAAAAACAGATGATTATTCGGAAATTGATCGGTTACANAGGAGAAAGGTAGAAAAGATAAAGGCAAGTACCTATTTAATGATAATACTCAACGTATAAAGGAAATAAAATAAGTATAAAATGTGCCATTCACCTTATTTGAGTTGATTTATTCTAATTAAATAGCATTACACGTATTTTGCGTGTGAAAAGTCCACTTTATCATTCATTGCTATTTTCATTTTCGGTAATTTTTGCACAATTTTGATTCGAATTATGCAAAAATCTGTATAAAATATAACAATTTTTTGTTCAAAATTAAATTAAATTATCATCTGGCACACTTTATATAAAGGCTGCTCATAAAATAAAATTAATATTTTACGTAAAATTAACAGTTATATTTACGATTTATTCAAAATATTTAGTATAAAACTGTAGATAACTATAAATAAACCTTTGAAATAAGTAAAATAAGGGGGGGAGCCTGGGTTTAGTAACAATTCACTTATAGGCCTATAATACACTATCTATACATAATACTGATATAGAATATAGAAGAAATGTATTATAGATTGTCTACTTATATCAACTTCTGGTGAATTTCCACACCGGAAGTTAAGATAACAATTGCCCAAATAGTACTAGTTTCAGCTCTATAATGTTGTTAGGTTACAACTATAGATAATTTTTTTATTTAAATGAAATTCCTAATTAGGTATATATTTAGCATTATGTTTCATTAATAATTATTTTTATATAATGATCATATCAAAGTATTGCAGTTTATATTAAACCATGTTTAATATACTCAGAAATATATATAAATGGTGTATATTATACTGTAAATTTGTAAAGAAATTCAGGTTATTTTTTATAATTTTAGGTATAATAATTGAATAAATTTTTATCTTTAGAAACATCTCTACACCTCACTTAAATCTAAAAGTATTCACAAAATCTTTATATAAATTATATCATAATTTATATCGTGTAATTGAATCGCTGATCAGAGTGTATAATGCAACTTATCTCTTCTAGTGTTGTTTGTAGTTTACAAATGTGGTGTTTTCTAAATTTATTTATAGGTGAAGCGACTAAATGCTTACTGTATCTATTGTTTTAACTAGTATATACTGTATATAACACTGTAGATTGATTGACTTTAAAACTTAAATCTCTATGAGCTTAGCTCAGATTTTTTAGGTATTTCTACAATCTTTGTAATTTTTCGTTAATAAGGTTTGGTAGGCGTATTTGTGTGTTCAAAATAGTACAAAAACTGAAATATTTTCAGCTTCTTTTCTCATATTTTGCCTTCGTAACATTAAACAAAGTTGGTGATAAATGTGTAGCAGATGCAGCTCTAGAAGCTATTTGCTGAAAACGAGAAGCTAAGGTGTAAAAAAATATTAAAATCTAATTTAAATTTATTAATTATTTTAGAAGAATACGAAAGTAGTTATGGAGATTCTATAATGCAGTTTATCAGAAAAGATTCCTTTGATATATTCGGTAAAATGACGAATCTTCTAACAAACCGTACTCACGTTTCTGAAGAAATAAGGGAATTTATACATTCGCAATTTTTTCCAGTAGGATTTACACCCGAACAACAAAAAGAATATATAAACTCAATGTTCAAACAATCAAAAGGTATAATACACAAACTGCATAATACACTCAATTGTTCTTTTACAGCGTGTCCATTAATGTTCCATGCTCTGTTGCTTACGTTTGAGTAATCAATTAGAAACTTTCGAAAGAAAGATAGATTTGTACATCCAAATATTTCAATTACTTATCAAGAGATTTATAAGAAAGAATGGTCAGCGTCACAATTTGAAACAGGAAAAGTACCTTTTCGGTGAAGATATTTTAGTAAAATTGGGGAAATTAATTTTTAAAAACATCTGAGATTAGAAGATATAAGTAACTTCCGTTATACAGAAACAATCCAAAGAATTACAATAGAGGATTTAAAAGAATGTTTCCTCGAGAACAAAGAGATTATTTTCTGTCTACAGTTTTTTCTTCTGTGCTCTGGGAAAAAGGATAAGATGTATTTTGTCTCTGCCCATAAGAACTTTAAACACTTTTTTATTGCTCTTTATATTTATACAAGTGAAAAGGCGCCATTCATACAATGTTACCACGATTATTCCTGTCACTCCTTTTATATTTACACGCAATAACAAATTTATTATGTTTCACGTGGGTCTATTTGAAACCGATAGAATTCCGAAGATATTACTTTAAGATATTTCAAAAAAAATTGTATTTCCGTTTCAGTTTGCATCGAAAATATACAAAGAAGTTGAGAATGACAGCAGAAAAACTACTATCACATACAAACACCATTCACGTGCGATGTGTAGTTTTTGCGGAAAAGTGAAATATAGGGACATACATGTCCATTTATATATATATATATATATAGAAAATAGATATAGATATAGATGAGTTGATATTTTATAAGTTTAGAAATGTGGAAATCGAAAATATAATCGTAGTCGAGCGTATATATCAGTAGAAAATATAAATATTGCATTAAAATAACACACTTTGCTGAAAGTCTGAAATGAAAGAGTAATTGAATCGAGTCCCGCCGCCATATTGATTAGCGCGCGACGATTATGAGCGCGTCGCGTTGCACCAAATTAAATAATTTATAAAAATTGAAATAATAAACACGTATATAAAATAATTTACTATTTCTGTTGGAAATAATATCGTAAAACACACTGCACTTATAGTTTAGCATTTCCGATAATATTTAATTAATTTTTAAATTTTATTATATTTTATATATAAAAATCGAAGAAAAAATATAAATGCATAAAACTTAATTAAAAAAATAAGGGCAACTTCAGATAAGAGATAAATATGGAGTCGATTAAAAAAAGACAGTTAATAATAATTAAAATCCAGAAAAAAAATAAAACTTTCAAGGTAAGGAGATTTCTGTGGTAATAAGTGAAGTGAGCGATCACGTGACGCCCGTCTCCCCACCTTCAGTAAAAAAAGCGTACGAGGTTGAAATAAAAGCAATAACAACAGTATAAGTAAAAACAATCATCGGCGCGTGTCTAGGTCAATAAGCTTAAACGGGAGCAACGATAAAACAGAACACTTTGTGATTTATTCTAATTACCTTCTAATATTAAAAAAATTTTGCTTCTAATTTTTTAAATTGTTTAGATATTATTTAAATTAATTATTTAATAATTAAAGAAATTTATATATAATTAATTTAATAATATAAATATATGTGACCATCAAATTATTACGTTTTTCCGATCTTAGTTTCGGTTTTGGTTTTGATTTCGTTTTCGTTTCTGCTTTGGAGAAGTTCGGAAGGAAAGTCCAAAGATAAAAGGAGAAAGGTAGAAAAGATAAAGGCAAGTACCTATTTACTGATAATAATCAACGTATAAAGTAAATAAAATAAGTATTAAACGTGACATTCACCTTATTTCAGATAACTTATTCTAATTATATACTAACTCGTATTAAATTTTGCGTGTCTAAAGTCCATTTTATCATGCATAGCTGACTAAATGCTATTGTAATTTTCAATAATTTTTGCACAATTTTAATCTAAACTGTGCAAAAAATCTGTATAAAATATAACAGTTTTTGTTTATATTAAATTAAACTGGCACATTTTATAAAAAGGCTGCTCATTAAAAAATAGTATTTCATGTAACATTAACAGTTATAATGTTGTTACTTTAACCGTTTATTGAAAATAATTATTATAAAATTGTAGTTAATTATAAATAAATCCTTAAAATAAGTAAAATAAGGCTTTTTGTAGGCTCATCTTAAATCTTGGTTTTGGTTTTGTTATAGGTTTTTTGGATTTTGTTTTTAACAAAGTTAATTTGGTGAAAAGATTAAGAAATGGGAAAGAAATCAAAGAACAAACGAGGAAATAAAACAAGTAATTATATATTTAACTTTAATTTAAAAAAATTATTAAATGTGCAATTCACCCTATTAAGTTGTCTCATGCTAATTAATTAGCTTTACTTTAACTAATTAGAATCAATTAGTGATTATATTATAAAGTAATGAGTGTTAATATAGTATAGTACAGTACAGTAATATAATAAAAGTTATCGTCTCTTACTTAGGCAAGTTTTTGTTTTTATACATAAATTTTTTCGTTATAAGTTGTGTACCATTACTGTACAGTACATAAACTGATAATAAGTATCAATAGTACATGATTATTTTGTATATGTGCAATAAAAAGCGCTATTTTTTAATTTTCCTACATTACAGAGTAGCTTTATTTTTATAAGTTTTAACTTTACAATCATTTTATTAACAGATGTAATACTACACTTGATAATACAAAGATTATAGTTAAGAGTTAAAACTGATAAACTATATTTTAAGTTGTTAATGTTTTTATAATACAACTTTCGGTGTAAGTCTATTGTATACAAGTGGTAAATAGTTAAATGTGTTGTATATTAACGACTTGTATAAGTGTTTTATAATATATTAACGTGATATCATTGAATAAGTATGAAAGTGGTGACCATGGATTCAGTAACAATTGATTTATATAATACACTAACTATACATAATACTGATATAAAATATAGAAGAAATGTAGTGAAGATTGTCTATTCGGTGTATTTTCACACTGAAATTTGAGATAACAATTGCCCAAATAGTACTAGTTTCAGCTCTTTATAATGTTGTTAGGTTAAAACTATAGATAATATTTTTATTTAAATAAAATCTTTAATTAGGTAGGCCTATATATTTAGCATTATCTTATATTAATAATTATTTTAATATTATGACATTATCAATGTGTTGCAGTTTATACTAAAGTATGTTTAATAAACTCAGAAATGTATATTAATGGTGTATATTATACTGTAAATTTGTAAAAACATACAGGTTAATTTCTATAATTTTAGGTATAATAATTGAATAAATTTTTATCCTTATAAATATCTCTACATCTCCCTTAGATCTAAAAGTAATCTTAAAATCTGTATCTAAATTATATAATGATTTATCTCCTGTAATTGAATCGCTGATCAGTGATTAAGTGTATAAAGCCACTTACCTCTTCTCGTTTTCTGTGGTTCTTAGCTTACAAATGTGGTGTTTTCTGGATTTATTTACATGTATAGCAACTAAATGCATACTGTTTCCATTGTTGTTGCTAGTATATAACAATGCAGATTGTTTTACTGTAAAATTTAAATTTCTACGCGATTTAGCGCAGATTTTTAAAGATTTTGTACATATTTTGTAATTTTTTTTTGGTTTATAAGGCTTGGTAGGTGTATTTGTGTGTTTAAAATCGTATAAAAGTTATCGGAAAATAAATGATATTATCATCAACATCAATCTTCATTAACAAATCGGAATAATTTCCCTGTTACAGAGGAGTTACAATCAATATATAAAGTAATTTTACATTTATGGTTTACAATAACATTGTATTCATTACACATCCTTTTATTGTTTCCAGACTCAATCATTTATTTCACGACGTTTCTTTTATTATTATTATAAGATTTGTACAAAGTTAAAATAAATGATATTATTAACTCACTGCGATATTTTAACTTTTTTTTTTGCATTATGTTCTTTATTAGTTTATCAACTTGTTACTGTTCTATTGTTGTTGTGTGTCCTTGAATGGAATAAATACTATTTAAGAAATTTACTTGTTTAATAACATTGCAATTTTTTAAATAATTCTAACACTTTTATTATCATTTTAGGAAAAACTTACAAAATTATGTAGTTCCAAACAAATAAATGTAGTAGAATTGACTTTTCTTATCTAACAAGACCCGTCGTAAAACGAGCTGTTTCATATTTATGAGTTGATAGTTACACATTTATTTTCTGATAATAAGTTTTTTTTTTTAAATTAATTACGACAAAAGGCTCACATATAACATAATGGATTTAAATATAGCATTTAATATGGACCAAATAAAACTTTTCATATCGGTAGTAAAAGCGAGCGGACGTAAAGCGAGGAAAGTATTCATTTGGGTTCATCAGTGAATAATAACTAGGCAGAAAGTCGCTAAGTATACGAACTGCAATCTGTGTCAGTTTTCTTAACAAATTTCAGGGATTTTGCTGGAAATCTTCTTTGTTTAGGAAGTGGATATAAGTAACTTGAAGGCATACGGTGTTAAAATTCTGTTCGATAAAAGATACGTTGAAGTAAATACGTAAATGAAGAGTAGTAGACATTTGTGACTAAAAAGTATAACTTAGTAGTAAATCCGATGAAAATAGTTGTAATACAGTGGAATATAGGGGAGATCGGGGCAAGATCGGCATGTTAAAATTTACTTAAATTTTGTGTAATAAATACTGCTGTAAACTGAAAAAAACCTTTTGCATATTGTCTATTGGAATGTTACCTTACTATACATCTGGTTAAAATCAGTTTGGACATAAAAATAATTAAAATAATTACAACTTTACAAGAAGAGAGAAATTGACGAAGTTGCCCCGGGTATAGGGGCAAGATCGGCAACTTCTCTTTTTTTGTAAAGTTGTAATTATTTTAATTATTTTTATTAAAGTTGCCCCTGGTATAGGGGCAACAGTAATGGGGCAAGATAGGCACGTATATAAAATTATGTTATTAACAATGTATAAGTTGGAATTCACTATTAAAACAAAGAAATACAAATCCAACACCCATTTAATATTATTACAACGAAATGCAAGTTCAAAGACATATATACATGAATAACAAATGCAAACATGTTTTCATTTATCATCTGTTTGATTTTTATCCTTTGCTTCTAATGTGGCTTTATGTTGCCGATCTTACCCCGCTAGTCATGATTTCGAAACATTAAGTACAACCCTGAGAACAGAATGCCAAGCCACGATCTGGCCACGTGAATAAGTTGAAGTTACATCCTTCTAACAGGAAAAGTAACTTTCGTTATCATGGAATTATAACAAAACCTGCCAATTCAATATAAATGGAAAAAAAATATTATATGGAATTGAACGAAAATGAAAATTTGCTTGATAATTCAACTACGCTTGTTGGAGAACAATAAAAACACTACACTCAACAAGACACCAATAAAACTCAACTGCCTAACCTATAACCAAAGTCTCCTTTTAATTTGTTTTTAAAAAAAGCGCTTGACAAACTTGCCCCGCATGCCGAAGTTGCCCCGATCTCCCCTAGTAGCTTAGAAAGTTCAGGATAAACAATCACTTTTCTCTTGCATTCAGAGTTACATAAGAGGTGCACAACGAGTATTCATTTGTTTCTAAATGTTCATTCGTTAGATTCATAATCCTCAAATTACTCTAATTATAAATTACAACTATCAAACATCATGAAATTACAATTATTTTAATTTTAAGAATTTACATTATTATAAACGACACAAAGAGTGCTCAGCAGAAAATAATGACTTAATCAACACCTGATCACTCGCTGAAAGATTTATTTTTTAAACAAACGTTTTAAATCCAATCAATGGATCATCGTCGGGTTAAAGAACACATTACATTATTATTTGAAATCTCCTTTCGTATTAATCATTAAAGACCCCAATGGCAGCTCAGTTATTAAGCGGTAACCGGAGAATGTGTAAATTTCAGTGAAAACACCTAAATTAAATGGAGTAAAAAAATTGCGATCTACTGAAAATATGGGCCAATAAATTCTGATAGTTTAATGCAATATTTTGAATATTTCCGATTCTGTAGGTGTGAGTTCTACATCATACACACACTTCTCTGTTTTCATATAATCGATTTTTAACAATGCAGGTAAGTGACTTTCTGAAGGTAAGAAATAACATCAGTTAAGTACAAAACTCTTACTTTTACACGTAAATTTTCACTGAAATTAAACTACCGTATACTTCTGTAATCCACACTTTTATATTACAAATTTAAAATTTTGAATTATTATTTTTTTCTTTTGGAGATAATCAACCGAAGTCGCAGTCCCAATCTGCTGTATTGCCTGGAAGTAGTCAGGTGTCAGCTGCATCTGGATCTAGACAAAATGAAAGACCTACAACCAGTACACAAGCAGCCAGAGCAGCACCCGCTGGAACTATTCAAGAGGAACAACAGACAGGTGCGTATAGGTTTACTTAATTAACAGTCTTTTATATATAATAACAATTTATATTAATAAAATATTCAGATCCAGAAAGGGTTACTGAGGTCGAAAGAACCTCAGCTCGCAGTAAGTTTCGACCATCCTCTTCAATGGCTCTAGCTTCGATAGAACAATCGGAAATTATATACGATAATTTTCTTTTACCTGATATGATGACACAGCGTCTGCAGATGGCTTTTACTGGTTTAGAGCGTCATAACTTCGCTAAACGCCCTGGAATTGGATTACAAGGTAAAAAGATCGCTTTAATAGCAAATTACTTTCCGATAGACATACCAGAAGGCGAAATATACCATTATGACGTAGATATTGCAAAGCTTCTATTTGCATATGATGCGGGTGACAGCGAATGTCTGCGCAATCATAAAAAGTACAAATCCCAAAATACAAAACAAAAGAGAAATGTTATAGAAGCGATGATTAGGGATGTGGCCATGTTTAAAAATATTCTACCAGCATTTGACGGTGAAAAAAATTTATATACTAGAAACTTACTACCATTCAAAGAAGAGAAAACATTTACTGTAAAACTTACGGACGACTTTAATCCAAAAGACGAGATAAGTTACGAAATCCAAATGAAACCGGTGAATAGAAAAGATACAATGAAGAGATCGGCAGAAAACTCAATTAATTTAGAACCATTACATCAGTTGTTAGCTGGAAGATGCAGTGATATAACGGAGGGTATCTTAATGGGAATCATGGCGATAGAAACCATACTAAGACACGGTCCTGCCTTACGATTGGTGCCAGTTGGAAGATCATTCTTCACCAAACCACATTCGGACGAAGTTCCTCTTTTGAGTGGAGGAAGAGAAATTTGGTTCGGTCACCATCAAAGTATGCAACTGTGCCAATGGAAACCTATGCTTAACATAGATAAATCAGCAACAACCTTTTATAAAAGCTGTTCCGTTATCGAGTTTATGTTCGAAGTGTTAAATATGAGTACTGAAAACATCGAGTTGTCTTTAGGACAGTTCAGAGGTCTGACCGATGCCGAAAGGAGGACATTAGCCAAAGAAATGAAGAACTTAAGAGTTGAAGTAACTCATTTGCCTTATCCTCGAAAGTATCGAGTTCGAGATATAACAAGAGAAAATGCAAATAATACATTTTTCATCAGAAAAATTGATAACGAAGATGTTAGATGTTCGGTATCTGAATATTTTCGTACCACATATAGAAAATTACAATACCCAAACTTACCTTGTTTAAACGTGGGAAGTGAAAAAAAAGCTGTGCATTTGCCAATGGAGGTGTGCAATATTGTTGAAGGGCAACACTGCAATAAGAAGCTGACTGAAAAACAAACATCTGATATGATTCGCTACACGGCTCGTCCTCCTGCCCAGAGGTTCAATGATATAAAAGAATCAATTAATGCTGTCTTGAAAGATTTCGAACCGTTCTCCAGAGAATTTGGCATTCGGGTAAGTCCGAAACCCGTAAATTTTACAGGCAGAGTATTAAATGCTCCACAAATAACGTATCAACAAAATCAGGCCATCACACCTTTCAACGGAAGCTGGGATATGAAAGGCAAAAGATTTTTTACAGGAGCAAGTATAGAAAAATGGATGCTGCTCAGCTTCTCGACTGCTAGATTCTGCGACGAAAATGCTCTGGATAATTTTGTGAGAATGCTTATAAACGGTGGAAGAAACGTAGGAGTATATTTTGCATTACCCCTCGTAACTAAACGCTTTACCCATCGCGATGGAAGGCCAGCAGATTTACTTAGACGAGCAAAGAATATGTATAAAGATCTGCAATTAGCCATAATAGTGCTGCCAGCAGGAAATATCTACTCGGAGATAAAAACTGTTGCAGAAACAGAACTAGGTCTTATGACGCAGTGTATAAAGGACGTAAACGCCACGGGTAGAAAATGTAACCCTCAGTTAATATGTAATTTATGTCAGAAAATTAATGCTAAAATGGGCGAGGTTAACAATTCTTTATCGCAAGTAGACAAACCTGCAATTTTCAAGAAACCTGTAATCATCGTAGGAGTGGACTGCACCCATCCCGCTCCAGGTGACAAAACAGGGTATTCGATAGCGGCAGTAGTGGGAAGTCTGGATCCGTATCCTAGTAAATTTACGGCTTCCATTCGAGTTCAGCATAAGAAACAGAAGGTAGAAGACAAAAAATATGGACAGGATATTGTGATCAATTTGAAAGAGATGATGAAAGAAATTTTGCTGGAATTTTTCACAACAACAAAAGGAAAAAAACCGGAAAAAATTATTTTTTTCAGAGACGGAATTAGCGAAGGCGAATACCAGAATGTGATGGAGTACGAAATGAGAGAAATTAGAAATGCCTGTAAAGAAATGGCTCAAGGGGAGACCTACGAACCACCAATCACATTCATCGTAATTAATAAACGTCATCATACACGTCTTCTTCCTGCAGATCCGAGAGACGGTGTTGGAAAACCCGGAAATGTCCCACCCGGTACTACAGTGGATACTAACATTGTACATCCGGTTTTCAACGATTTCTTTTTATGCAGTCATATAGGCATACAAGGGACAAGCAGACCTTCCCACTACACGGTTCTTTGGGACGACAATAACTTCACAGCTGACCAGCTTCAGCTGTTAACTTACTCTTTATGCCACACTTACGTAAGATGTACCAGGAGCATATCCGTACCGTGTCCGGTTATGTATGCTCACCTTGCGGCATTTAGAGCCAAACAATACCTAATAGCCAAAACTGAAGGTGTATCGAGTAGCGATACTTCCGAAAGCGAGGAAGTAATTATATCAGAAAGCATTAAAAAAGCCATTAGCGTAGTTGAATCTATGCAAAATCGAATGTATTTTGTATAAATTTTCATGCTAATGTTTAACATTTTATCAAAAACACTAACGATATATTGTACTCGAACAATCTTTCTTTACATACTTTTTGCATACATAGAGTTATATATTTTTAATTTTAAATTAGTCATAAAGTCGTTCTGATAGAAATGACGACATTTATAGTGATGATAAAGAATGTGACTTTGTAAGTACAAAGTCTAAGTATTTTTAAGTAATTATTTTAACATAGAATAAATGGTTATTTGATTGAAACATAATTTGTTTTTTAAAGTTAATTTTTATATAAATGATTTACTTACGAATTTCTGACTGCGGTCTTTAAAAACATAAGAAATTATTAATTAACTAGACATAAATAGTAACCATAATCTTATCTTTATACATTTGAAAAAACACGTATAGAAGTTAATACCCGTTCAAATAAAATAAATATTAATGGTAAAAGAACGCAATCTCAATGCATAACACTATACAGTTATACTGCGGACTAGATTTACTATAAATTCAATTTAGTCACTCCATGAAAAAACACAAAAAAGAACAATATACAAAACTTGTGTAAAATTTGTAATTGGGCTGCAATTTGAAAGAATTGTGTACCTCTAAATTTCGACTGAAGTCGTGGATTTCTTAATCACACCAGACACAATAGGTTACAAACGCGTAATACCGAGGTATGAAACAAAGACACGATTCCAGTACTTAATAAAGGCAAACTGATTATTATCAAAGAATATTTGGTACAAACTAAAGGTATATTATAAACGCTATCCTATATAAATAGTAAATTACATACTAAATATCATAAAGACATTGGCAGTAAGTATATCAATGATAAACTGTGGAAGTTACAGTACATTACATCTTTGCATCTTACATTACATCTTAGCATTAGGGGAGACCGGGGCAACTTCGGCATGCGGGGCAAGTTTGTCAAGCGCTTTTTTTTTAAAACAAATTAAAAGGAGACTTTGGTTATAGGTTAGGCAGTTGAGTTTTATTGGTGGCTTGTTGAGTGTAGTGTTTTTATTGTTCTCCAACAAGCGTAGTTGAATTATCAAGCAAATTTTCATTTTCGTTCAATTCCATATAATATTTTGTTTCCATTTATATTGAATTGGCAGGTTTTGTTATAATTCCATGATAACGAAAGTTACTTTTCCTGTTAGAAGGATGTAACTTCAACTTATTCACGTGGCCAGATCGTGGCTTGGCATTCTGTTCTCAGGGTTGTACTTAATGTTTCGAAATCATGACTAGCGGGGTAAGATCGGCAACATAAAGCCACATTAGAAGCAAAGGATAAAAATCAAACAGATGATAAATGAAAACATGTTTGCATTTGTTATTCATGTATATATGTCTTTGAACTTGCATTTCGTTGTAATAATATTAAATGGGTGTTGGATTTGTATTTCTTTGTTTTAATAGTGAATTCCAACTTATACATTGTTAATAACATAATTTTATATACGTGCCTATCTTGCCCCATTACTGTTGCCCCTATACCAGGGGCAACTTTAATAAAAATAATTAAAATAATTACAACTTTACAAAAAGAGAGAAGTTGCCGATCTTGCCCCTATACCCGGGGCAACTTCGTCAATTTCTCTCTTCTTGTAAAGTTGTAATTATTTTAATTATTTTTATTTCCAAACTGATTTTAACCAGTTCTATAGTAAGGTAACATTCCAATAGACAATATGCAAAGCTTTTTTTTCAGTTTACAGCAGTATTTATTACACAAAATTTAAGTAAACTTAACATGCCGATCTTGCTCCGATCTCCCCTACATCTTACTGTACATTACATTACAGTACATTACATCAAGCACAAATGATAATGTTAAACAGAACAGGAGTGTAGTGTTCATGTTTCTATTCGAATTGATTCTGAACGTACTCAGTTGATAGAAGCTATTTTCTCTTTTTAGAAATTAAATTGTTTAAAATTTATAATTTTTGGTAAAAACTTACATTAAACGAGTAATTATTTATTATGTAATTGTCACAATGCTGAACCGCAATTTGTAATCATATATTTAATTTAATTTAAAATATATGCTTTGCACCTCAAATTACAGTGTGAGGTATTATAAATATTAGTTGGTCTACAATATTTCAAATTGCAGCCAGTAATATTTACAGTTTTTTACACATATTTGCATGTTGATGTATAAAGTGGTTCCTTCAGACTGGCTTATTATTTTGATAACTTCTACTTCCACTTTTATATTATTTTAAATATATCATGCATTATTATCCAATTGTTAAAGTAATTTTTCAATCGTAAAATGACCTGTGCTAGACCGTTAAAAACTTTACTTCCTTTTAATGTATTATTATTGTAATTATAAAAGTTATAAATTCAAGAACAAATGTTTCTAAAAGCTTTAAGACATCTGTTTGTTTAAAAACTGAAGTTTGTATGAATCGCATTCAGAACACAGTTTAACCTCGATATAACGTATAAGATGAACTTTAAATTAGATGTTTTAAGAGAGACAACAGATCTACATTTTATAAACAGGGGATAGAAACGAATGATACAATATGAAAAATATGATATTAAAATCATTATTGCAAAACAGTAATATTGTCGTATATTTGACAATTTGTTTCTGTAAAATTGCCAATAAATCGAGTCTGGTGCTAAACCGAAGTACGTAAACGATAACTTTTATATAATTCTATTTGTTTGGTGTTTGAGCATTTAAAAAAGTACTTGATTTAGTGATAAATGCAGTTTTACTAAAGCTACTTTCTTGTATGGAATCACACATGCAGAACATTGTAAACTTGTGTTAGTAAGGAGACAATTTCGCTTTAGAGGGAGGCGATAAATTGAGATTTGGTTGTACAAATACGCAGGTATGTACAGTATTTACGAATATATGTGTATCTATAATACATAAGTATGCATATACACACATTAAAATAATATAGAACTCTTAGTAGTTGCAATGTTAGATTTTATTTAAAATATTACCGAAATGTTCATCAAAATATTTAACAAAAAATTATCATATCTTTATAATAAGTAATATAATGTATGGTTAAGTATTTGTAAAATGAGAAACAGTTCCTTCTAGATAATAACAGTAATTGTAATAGACAAAGAAGTGCTACTAGGATACGTGAGAGAGTCTTTTTTAAAGAATTCCTACTTGAAGATCAGGGTTTTGCTGTTGTAGACGATACCACCCACGAGCCATTACTACAACCAAAAAATCCCAGATGTTTAATGTGTTTAACACTTTCAGGTAGGTTTTCACAATAACACGTATACCAGTAACAATAGCCGTGCTGTCCTCCTAAGATCAAGCAAAATTCCCTACATTTATCGTTATCCTCGCCATAGTAACATGGGTACGTACAATTCCATCTGTTGATAGGATAGGCACTCGGAACTTCGCTACCTTCGACTTTTACACCTGCATAACGAAACATAAATAAATAATGGTAGTAACGTGAGTATTTAAATACCTTGTTACGACATTGTTTTTTATAGAAAATGTAAAACAATGCCATTGAAAATCACACAACTTTACTAAAAATTCGATGCGCTGTTTATATATCTGTACGACAAAAAAGTATTTGGCGGTCCAAAAGTCAGTTGACCAACTGTTTAATAATCGTGTTTGTCTAAGTATAGGCCTATGTTTTATTTTAGGAACAAATAAGCAATAACTGAATCGCCATAGGAGGAGACTATGTATATAATTATACAGGGAGGACCGAAAATTAGTTAATCAACAGTATTTTATGATTATTTTCGGTACGTTTAAGAACAGTTCACACAGCTTAATTGATTCGCCTCGAACGACGTGACCAAATCATTTTAGATACAAACTTTTGGGCCATCGCATTTACTTTAAATATTAAAAGAAACAAAACTACATCATTATAATATGTTACAAACATTAATTTTTGTACTGCCAAACACGGGAAACAGAGATTTAGCAGGTATTTCGATAACAGAAATTACGAGATATCTATTCACAATTCATCAGTCTGGTTCTTCCTTAGGAACTACGATTCGATTCAATGTATTGTGCCAAAGATGTATGAAAGATGAAATATTACGTCATGTAGAAAAGATCGCATGCATATCCCAGATAATTTATAGAAACATGTTAAAAAATTCATTTTTTAAGATTAAAATATTAATAACTTTTTACACTTTTTACAGTCATTGCTTTTTTAAATCAATTTTACTTGTGGAAGGTTAATTGTTTACACACGTTTAATAATACATAACAGAAAAAGGAAATTAAAAAAATGTACTTACACGTTAACAATAAGGCTTCCAGTATGAGTATTTTATACACGATTTGCATTGAATTTAAAAATGTGAAAGCGCCCATAGTGTAATTCTTATTGTCTGATTTGACACCAGACATGTGCAGAATAATTTATTTAATACCTGACAATAAGGAGGGAGTTATTAAAGGGCGGAGCAATAAGGCAATAGCATGGCTCCTTTATATAAAAGAATAATGTCATTGGTTTGCTTAACCAGTGTCGCGAAGCCACTTTCCTGGCAACGAGCCAAAGACAAAATCGTCAAATTACATTGTTATAATTGTCAGAAAAAAAAGAAAAAGTTTTAAATATAATATATCGTCACTCACTAATTAATTAATTAAAGTTTAAGAAGGAAATAAGACAAGACATAATGGAATAAGGTTAAAAATATGTAAAGAATAAAACATAATTAAAGTTCAGATTCAAATGTTTAAAATAAAATTAGATGGAAGGTTAAAGAACACATTTTAAGAATTACACTATAATGACATATGCTGTTTCTACAGCTCTGTGAGTTGCAACATACCGTACAGAGTGAAGAATGTTCGTTGTGTTAGTTAATTAATAGCTGCAGAAATGGAAGAAAAATCAAGGCAAATGTAATATTCTACAATTATTTTTACCTCAAATATATCAAAAGCTAAATCCATTAAATACAAAAATGTGCATTTCAAAAAATCTGGAAGCAATTATCTGTTATTGCGGTTTATATAAAAAATGTCGTTATTTTTGAAATGCATTAAACAAATTAGCTACATTAAAGTTCTTTGCACATGTTTATTGTAGTTGTATATAATTAACTGAGTTTTCATAAGATATAAAAAGACAAATTTGTACGCATCTAGAATAGACTTTTAGAAAAAAAGTCATGTTGAAATCACTTATCCGGAAAGCAGGGGTCGACGGAATGGGTTCCCTATAGACTACTTATTCGGCGACGGGTCGGTAAGGCCCGCTCACTTTGTCACTGGATGGTTGACCAGAGTGAGAGAAAGGTGATAAGTCCGTTAACAGGGTGTCGGCGTCTAATAAGTCCACAGGAGAGAAGTCTAATAAGTTCAGAGGAAACTACAAAAACGACAATTTAAGCGACTAATTTTAAGTATACAAGATTACTGACCGATAAGCGCAACACAACGTTTGATACTAGAGTTTCGGACTAAATTATCAACTATTTACAAATTCTTCTTAAATGAGAAAAGACCAAGATAGAGAGTTTACGAACATTCTAACATAATACCTTTGAGGGGGAGTGATGATGTCTTCTACTCCCATTGAGACGTGTTTGTAGGGAGACTTCCATGGAGATAGCTTTCGTCATGAAATATGGTGGGCGAGCCGTGGTCTCTAGGGCAATGTCCGCCCCGAACGTCGAGTACGAGCACCTTTTTTCCTTCTTAGGCCTAAGAAAATGATCAAGTGATCGGATGTTTTGGGAAACGAAGTTGCAGCTGTTGGGTCATAGGTGGACTGGTGATGACGGTAAGATGTCTTCTAAACGGTAATATTTGGTTCGTGAAATGTTAGATTCATCGTGTTTACTCGTTCGAAGGTTGATATTCTCCTCTTTTAACAATAGATTGTTATAACTTTTTTGCGTTCGTTGATGAGAAGGGTGACATTCAATTTTTTTTCGTGTGATGTTTTTTTAACAGTTGCGACGGAGAAATTGGTTAAATTAAAAAAAAAATCCAGGCCCTCGATCTAACACTTATCTTTGTAGCTTTATTCCTAATATGAAAGTTTTTTACATTTTTACCCTCTCTCCCTCACGAAAAATAAAATGATTTCCAAAAATTTCTATTTAGTGTTCATTGGCACTTATTTGTTTATTATATTTATCAAATAATTATAAATTTCTATTTATTCTTCCATACAGTAATTTTGTTTTAATCCACTATTTTATAGGCCTATATATCATCCTTAATCAATGTCAATGTACTGCTAGATTAAGGTATCTTCTAATATTTTCCATTCATAAATAATTTTATTTATCTAATAAAAATCNTTTACGTTTTGTTTGTATACTTATTTTATGGGAATGTTTTTTTCTATTTCTGAAACTTTTTAAGTCTAATTGTATTTACATGTCATCCTATATTTGCCTAAATTCTGATAAAGATATAAAGTAACTTGTTTTTTATTGTTTTAATTAATGGTTTGCAAACTAATGTTTATTCATTATTACTAATATTGTTTGATATAAAGTAACTTGTTTTTTATTGTTTTAATTAATGGTTTGCAAACTAATGTTTATTCATTATTACTAATATTGTTTGATATAACAGTTTCTGTGTTTCATTTTTAACACTTTAACTTATTTATTTCGTGCTTCTTTTCTTTCATTTTACTGTCAATCTTTATTTAGTACCTTACTTTTTCATTTGATACAACACGTTTGTTTTTATACCTGGTTCTCTCTTTATTTTATTTGATGCTTTTTCCTGTCTTTCATTTGAGAATAAAGATTACAAATATTTCCAGTTTACTATAAACAATATGTTTTCATAATATAGTAATTTTCATGATTTTTGCAGACGTTAGAGTACATGCAGACAATGTTTCTGGTGGATATCCAGTAAATACATTTGGTTGTATCTATAAGTGTTATTATGGGCCAGAAGAAGAGAAATGCCAAGAATTCTGCAAATACGTAGGAGGAGATTTGGATATTGTTTGGATACAATGAAGTTTTCTTTACGAATGATTTACTTAAGATTTTTTTTAGCTTTTTACATGTAACAATTTTACATTATACTTAATCTTCATTACATGTTATAGAATAAATTAAGAAACTCATATTATGAAGGTAAAGTCAAAAAATAAAGTAAAGTTTCGGTACAGTCTTTTAGAATAATCTAGTACCTTAGAAAACAATCATTAAAATATGTTCGTTTTATAACAGCACATTTTTGCAAAGTAATTTTCTTGTGATATATTTAAAGGCTGTTCTCATTGCAGCTTTTATACATTCAGTTTGTTTTGTTCACTTCTGAGTAATAAATGTCACTAAACAGTATCTAATAATGCTTTTTCAGTCTCTTTGCTGAACTTTGTCGAATTCAACTGTTCCTGAAATGAGACAGAAGTTGAATAGTTTCCAAGTTTATTTATATAAAAATAAAAATCAACGTACGGAAAGTTTACAATGTTTTATGTGTGATTCAATACATAAAATTAGCTTTAGTGAAACCGAATTTATCACTGAATCAACTGATTTATTTAAACGATCAAACACCAAATAATTAGAATTGTATAAAAGTGATTGTTTACTAACTTCGGTTTAGCGCCAAACTCTATTGCCATTTTAAAGAACTCAAATTGTAACAGTAAATCGAAGCTTGACTGCGTATAAATATAAATTATACCTCTTGGTTCTATACACTATGTTTATTAGTGAATTGTTTTTACAAATAGAAGACATTTTTATTAATTTGTATTAGTGATTTGAATATTATATTCCTCACATTTAATAGTTATAAAGTCTTTTATAACCTCACTTAGTATGGCCTAAACACCACACTAAATAGACAAGAGGAAACAGTTAAATTTGTTATATTCAGTCGAACCTCGATTTAGCGTCACTATCATTCGCTTATGAAATTGCCACATTATCGAGTGTTGTATATTTAGCAATCATATCTAAGTACTATATTTCGAGTGTTTGAACGTCAGATAACTGCATGATTATAACAGTTTGAAAAGAAAAACAAAAACAATACATTTAATAAACCACCTATAATGAAGGGTTTTATTTAATACACGTAGCGAGGGGCCGTTAACATTGATTAAGATTGTCTTAAATAATACGGAAAACCTGTTTTTCGTATTATGTAAGACAAATAAATAGCACAATTCAGGTGGTATTTAAACAATAGCGGCCATCACAAATTAATTGTCTTATTTAACTGACAAAATAAAATTAAAAAGAATTATATAGGGACTACATTAAATTTTTAATGTAAGTGTCAGCTTAAGTATTGTTCTTTTTTTATAATAACTAGCTGCAAGGTCCCGCTTCGCTGGGTTTTTATTTGTATGTAATCTAGGTTTTATATATATATATATATATATAAAAGACTGTTTTTCTAAGTAATCTAGAATCTAGCTGCAAGGACCCGCTTCGCTGGGCAAAAAGTAACGATAGTGAAGATTAAGATAATTACATTATAGCTAATCT